CCTGGGATACTTGCATTCCATGTTGTACGATCTTCAGCTTTGGCGCGATGTTATGTAGAGCAGTAGTGTTACCGGAACCTCTGGACCAGATGGGTTGAGTTGAATTTTTAACTCGTTAGGATGTTTCATATTGCGTGGCAAGATTGGTCTAAATGATGCTACGGAAGAAGAGATTTCCACATGAAGTACATTAAATTTCTTGTATAGTACTACCAGTAAATTGCCATGCCCGAATTCCAGGGGGGGGGGGGGGCAAGTGCCCCCCCTTGCCCCTGGGAGCGGATGCCCATGTGCAAAAGCAACAAAATAAAATCTGTGTCCATGCTATAAATGTATTATATGGGGACTATATAGCGGCAGAACTGCATGAAATTTCAAGTTCTACATATTTGAAATCAATGCAGCTCTCTGACAGAAGCTTGGTTAGCTCCAATAAAGTAAAGATTGCGCTTTTTGAAATATGAATTAACTTTTGAGAATATAAATTTTCAGAGGTTTTAGGTTCAAAGTTTACAACAACTTTACCTTACCGTATTTGGAAAACGTCTATCTGACTCGTACAGCTTGCGTGTCAGTGCTGCTACCTATGTCGTTCTCGTGCTGTCATGCCCCTCTAAATCTAGGTGCCAGTCAGACTGAGGCGGGATCACTGAACTAAAGGCTCTCCGACGCTAGGTTCTTCTGCCCTTCAGAGCAAGCTCAGTGACAGGACATACTCCTATCTATATTAGAAGTAGGATAATTCAATTTCTTTTGCATTCCTGTAAGCTATAGCTACTCAGAATTCTCATGAATGAAAATTTCATTTCAGTTCAATTTTGTCATCTGACTCAGGCCTAGCTTAGTCTACGGTCGACTCAGTTATTTGAAACGGTGAGCTGTGCCATGGTACAGGATTAAGCTTCTGTCAAGGTTCATCCATGTCTACCCAGGCAATTATAAAACATGCTTAGTCTCTGCACAGCAAGCACATTTTGCCGGAGCGTTTCTCGAATGATGTTGATGTCTCACTACGTTGTCAGTTCATGGACATTGACACATTTCCTCAACATTCAATACCTCTCTTCACCTTCGAGTCCATCGAATGTTCCTGAGATAGCTTTTAGCAATAATTTATTGCTAAATTTGCTTTCAACATTGATTTTTTTAATGTTGACTTGGAAAGGAAGGTGCAACCTTTGAATGCAACTTGCATGATACTTTGAAATAAGACAGTTTGCTGAATGCATGTCTGAGCCGCTGCTGTGAATAATTCCCCAAGCTTCTCAATTTCATACTCGGTAAGTGCAGAATTCTCAATTATTACATTAGTACATGGCATGAATAGTGATGGAGGAGAAAACTCCCTAGTATAGTGTCATATACAAATTTTGGACACATTTAAATTGAAGGCTTTATATATATCAAGGTTGAAAAGAAGCACATTGAGAAAGAATACAAATATGGGAAAATATTTGCATTGCTGATGCTTCTGTGTACTGCATGCAGAGCAGAATTCAAATGAGGATGTGCCTTGCCATGCTATGGCATTAAACCATACTAAAGCAGTTTTTATGGATGAGACACCAGTAACTGGTTTAGCATTTGCTTTGCATTAAGAAAATTATTATTGAATGGTGATTTTGCAAACAAAGTTATGAATAATTTGAATAATTCAGCACTTAATATTTCCAAATTGGTATTGAGTTCCATTCTGTGACAGGGAGTATTAGAGAGTGTAGCCATGATTTTTATTTTTGCAAATTTAACGATTGCACAACAATTTCCTCTAGAATTTGCTGAGAAATAAAAATATTGCTTTTATGTTGACTTGCAGCAACAATTGGACAATCTCTTGTAACATATGAGTAACATTGACATTTTGGATATTTAGTTATAAAGAAAAATCCATCATATTGGCAGGTTAATAATTTCAGCATTCTTAGAACATTGCATTACACTGGGTTACTTGGACTACTTGAGGGCAGAGTAGAGATAGCCTATTTTTGTTATATTCAGCATTTTGAACATGTATTTAGTGTTGTGTGAATTTAATGAGGAAGGGGTTGGCTGGTCTGAGGGATGTTCATGGCATTTGCAGATCATGTGTATCACCCTTCAGATTTACTATTTTTTTACATCCAGTCTGCTGTACAGAGTGTAACATAACCTTTTGCTTGAGGTTTTCAACTGGACTTTATTTTATCAACTGAATAAAATCTTCAATTTATAAAAACATCATATAATGAAGATTTGAGATGAAGAATTGAGGGATGCCTCCTGAGGCCACATGTCTTTAAATTTTAATTTATTTTGCATGAAAACATTCATTATTCATCTAATGTGCAAATCAATCTCTAGCTTCAATATACAGCATGGCCCAAAAGTAGGTATACAGTTGTTTGTTTTTTTTTCTATTTATTTTATTTTTCTGTGTGTCACAGTGTTCTGGACAGGTTCAAGGAATGTTGCAACGTTGATGGAAGACATTTCGAGCACTTACGAGATTAAACAGTGTTAAACAAATGTAAATGTAATAAACAATGTAATAAAATGCAAATAAACTATACTGTATACCTACTTTTGGGCCACCCTGTATTTTAATGAAAAAATCAGCTGTAATTAATTAATTGGTTGTCATGTTACTGCACCATGTAAATGTCTGAGTGGATCTGATTCAGGAGAAGTGTGCCTCATTGAATGAGTTTACTCAGGACACATTTTCAAAGTTACTCTAAACAGTTTTCAGTCCATGTGCCCAGGGGTGAGTATAATGATTAAAAAAACTTATTATTCAGTGTGCATAGGGTTAAAAGGCAATGTATGTTGGGAAAGAGACTCTGGGGGTTGCCATCAAATGAGAGGGAGATGTGGGCACCAAGAGGCCTGCAATGTTTTCACTTGAGTCAGACAATTTTTCACCTGACTTTCACACTCATGCATGAATATCCCATGCATTAGTGTCCAAGCCAAGTGCAAAATTGTCCTTAAGTGAAAGCACTGTTTTACAGATAATGTGTGCATGAAGCAGATATGCAATGGAATATAGCTCCTTTTGAATAGCTACTGCCCTCAATGTGATAGAGGCATAGTCCTGTTTGAAATATCTCATGCAGATATCTGATTTTAAGTCTACTTGTTGAGTCCCCTGTTACAGAACCTTGTCACCTGCTCAATTGATATAGTGGTCAATGAGGTTCTAAGAGGGATCAAGAAGGGAACAGAAACAAATATGGGTGACTCAAATCCTCATGGAGAACAACAGTACTTGGACTTGGTGAAGAGAATCCTTGAGTCAGGAGAAGAAAGAGAAGACCGTACTGGTGTAGGAACCCTATCAGTTTTTGGGGCACAGATGAGGTTCTCTCTAAATGATGGTAAGCATAATGTAAGCCTGACCCTACTAGGGATAGGACTGAGGAACCCAGGGATGCCTCCAAATAAGACCCTATCTCAAGGTCTTCACGAGGCATCTTTAACACATTGATGCCCAGATGTATTAAGTGTGCACAATCCCTGTAGCCCAGCCATTTTTCACAAAATACAATACTTTGCAAAAAAAATTATATAAAACCAAGAAACGATCTACGTCCCTGCAGGAGGTAGATCATTTGTTGGTTTTGTAAATGGTTCAAAAAGAGTCATTATCATCACTATCATGATCATCAGAACCACCACTGTCAATAATTCCATGGGCTGGTCATAGTCACTTTGCTGCAGATAGATAATTACCACCACCACGTATGTTGCTTGCACATTGCTTGTTAGTTGATTATCATTATCATTATCATTGTCACTATCCTCAAGATCAATTTCAAAATCGCTATGACCATCCATAACAATTTCTGCTATTTCATTGTCTTTATAACTTGTTCTCTCTGAGCAGCCATTTTGCAAGGCTTCACACAGCTCCCAGAGCTTCTTAGATACACAACTTCAGAATTAGATTTCTTGTAGATCAACACCCTCTGATGAAAAAAAATAAACAGAAGGAGCTCTGTGGTACTTAGAGCATGACAAAACTTATGGTCACACTACTGGTTGCATGTATCGATATATTTAAAAAAATAAGAAAAGCGAGCTGTGTCAAAACATAATATTATGGTTCTGGGCGGTGGGCATGGTTACATAAAACGTAATATTACAGTTCCCAGTGTCAATGTGCTAAGACATCCTAAGTCAAGGGCTAATATATCTTGAAGGAGACGCCTTTAATCCTCTAACTGCCAGGATCTAGATGATCTTATATTTAACTCTGTTGTTTCATCTTTTCATCCCCAAAGAATCTCTTCAAAATACTTTGCCTAATTACTATCACATCTTCGTGAAAATACATGAAGTATCAGACTTTATAAGTTCACAGTGCAGCCTACACTAATATATAAATTTTTATATCAGGGTTCAATGTATCCAGAGCAGTAGTCACATGGTTAATATACAATTACCATGCTGATGACAGGTCATGCATGCCATTTTCATTCCATGACCCACCAGTAGTTTTCAATGCAATGACTGTCATAAGTCAATATTAAGTCTTGAAACAATCTAATTATATCCTTCCCAATGAGAGGCATTGGACCCAGATGTTTTTGTGACCCTGAGATGAAAGTTATCTATGGTTTCTTTTTCTCCATCTTTTGGGGTGCCCACATGCCCAGACATCTAAATGACCGTGAGATATTCCTAAGTCATAAATGGGACTTTCATCTTCTGGAGACATCTCTGGGACAAGTTTGGAGTGCACTTGAGCTGATGGAAAATGGATCCCTTCTAATTGGTATTATCTTAGCGATGTCCTCTTGTCCAGACATTTTGATGACCTTGAGATATCCCTAAAAGTCATTATTGTAACTTATTTGTTCCAAGAAACAAATTAGCTACATCTCAAGAAAAACTTTGAGAAGGACCTGTTCTGCATGGACATTGTCTAATCATGCAAAATTAGGTTGCATTCATCTGAGTATTTTCCATTCTCTAGGACACATTCCATTACTCACTACCAAGAGGGTGTTTTGGAGGGGAGTTTTGGAGGAACTTCTCTGGTTCATTCGCAGTTCTACAAATGCCAAGGAGCTTCAAGAAAAAAGAGTGCACATATGGGATGGAAATTCATCTCGTAAATTCCTTGATTCTCTGGGCTTCCATCATCGAGAAGAAGGTATTCAATCATGACCTACATGGCTACCTTGATTTGAAATGCTTAATCATGAATTAATTGTGAAGGACATGAAATCTTTTTTGTTCTCCCCACAAGGTGATTTGGGTCCTGTCTATGGCTTCCAATGGAGGCATTTTGGAGCTAAATATCAAGGTATGCATAGTGATTACACTGGACAAGGAGTGGACCAACTTCAAAATTGTATCAATGACATCAAGAACAATCCCTGGAGTCGCCGGATAATTCTGTGTGCATGGAACCCTCAAGATCTACCTCTGATGGCTCTACCTCCATGCCATCTTCTCTTCCAGTTTTATGTAGGAGAGGGAGGGAAGTTGAGCGGTCATTTGTACCTCCGCTCTGCTGACATGGGACTTGGGATTCCTTTTAACATTGCTTCATACTCCCTCCTCCTCTCAATGGTGGCACATGTCACTAATCTCAAGGTCAGACTCCATTCTCCTTCATTTTAAGTCCCATGAAGCAAATCCAATCTGGGGCTTAAATGTATGGCATTAAGCATTCTTGCAGGTTGCAGCAGTTTGCTTGGAATTCGATTCTCATTATTTGTATTTCGCACAAAGAATCACTGCCACACTTAAAGGAGAAGAGGCCCAGAATCAATTAAACTTTTCTCATTCACTGCTGTTCAGTGAGGTTTACAAACTTTTGTTAGGAAAAAGAGTGACAGAATGGGCATTTATGTGTGCACATGTCAGAAATTTCCTCTCACTCTCCATGCATTCAAACTTTTTTTCTAATTTATTCCCTTCACACTTCCTGTCTGGTTCTTGCTGACAGGTTCATTGAGAAGTGTAGATGTTCTTGTCAAAAAATTATTTCAGTAGGGTGGGGGAGCAGCAAAAGAAGAAAAACCATTTGCTGGCCAAGGTGCCATTTTTCTCTGTTACCCACCACCTACTATAGTGAGAAAGAAATTATACACTGTGTCTTGATTGAATTCATACCACTTCCCTTTAGTGGATAATGGAGAAAACACAAATATTCAGAGGTTCCACTTCATCAAGTGATAGACATAACCACCCACGTGTAAGATGTCACTACCTGCAATCAATGAAAGTGCTCCTGTAGGGGGGGGGGGGGATACAAATTCAATCCTGAAACAGTGAATTAGGAAACCATGAAAAATTAAAGACTTGTTCACTGATAGGTCACCAGTTTAGGAAAAACATAAAATTGAGTCCCTATGTAGAGAAGGTGCAAGCAGGACTTGGACTGGGACATTGGCATTTCATTTTCTTGTGCGACTGCTGCCTTTCCACATCCTGGGCATATTCAATGGATACCTTCTTTTCCTGATGGAATTCTCGTAATTCTATTATGTTATGGTTGCTATGCATACAGCATCAGGAAAGTGTTCTTCCTAATCGTTTGATTCCCAACACCCGAGGATAAATCCAGAATTTTTTACAGGGCACTTGAGTAAATGCAGAAAGGTACCACTTTTTGCACAGGTGCACATGCATGAAAGTAGAGCTAATTTTGTAAGCAAATTTTAAATTTGTCATTGTCTTAATCAACTAAAATTGCCAGCCAGTTTTTCAAGATCAAATAGGAATTTTTCTCAATTGTCAATTTTCATCACCTTTATATATCTACTTAAAGGAATATCAACTTAAGCATGAAAATGAACTTAGGTGAGCCATAAAAAGGGGGGGTTGTTAGTTAAAACTACTAATTGACATTACTCCCTGTAACCCAATATGATAAAAAAAATTGCATCATCAATAAGAGCAATTTTGAAATAGCTTATTGGGTAGTCTCACAGCCTACCTCACTGTATTACAAAGAATAATCTTCATCTGAAACTCTTGCTCTGCAGCCTCATGAGCTGATTGTGTCTCTTGGAGATGCACATGTGTACAAGACCCATGTGGATGCCCTCAAAGAGCAGATCTTGAGGGAACCAAGACCATTCCCCAAACTCCAATTCAAGAGAAAGGTGCCTTCCATTGATGACTTTGTTGCAGAAGACATTGAGATTGAGAACTACAATCCTCATCCAAAGCTGAAGATGGATATGGCTGTTTGAGGAAGCTGGCAACTTTATTTTTCCTTTTGTGAGCATCAGCAATGGCTCCGTCTACATTCCTGAACATGACATGTGCCAGCAATAAACAGGAAAGATAAAGATATCACAGTAAAGAGTCAATCAAGAAGAATCAGTTAACATCATGTCTGCATTGACTGGTGATCCTCATCAGGTCCATTGTCTTCCTTCCTTCTCCCAGGAATTCTTTCAGGCTGGAAACAATCATTCATATTTATTACAGAGAGAAGAACACAACTTTTTCTTTGCCTCTATGTGAGACTTCACATGGATTGGGGAACTCACTAAGTGCCTATAGAAAGGATTCCCATGAGGGCAAGAGGTTATTTTCCCTTCTGGGGAGCCAAGGTCTTGCATCTGTGATAGCTGTTGCATCAGGGCCAATGTTCCTCCTTCACTCACAGTCACTATCACCCATATCACATCTGTCACAAAATACAACAAATGGAAACATTTACCATGTTGAGATCCTAAGTAAATCAAGCAAAAATTTTCAACTTACCCCCAAAATATGATCCTGTGGCTGTACTCACACGCCACTTCCCTTCATATATTCCTGGTTCTCCAGGGCTGGTCATCTCTAGACACACTACCATCCTTTCTCCAGGTTGAAGTTGATCTAATATTACCCTGTCTTGTCGTGCCATTTGTACCCCTCCACTGAATTTCAAGATGCATCCTGCAGGCCATTTACTTGTACCTGAATTCTGCAACTCCCATTTTTTTGTGAACCTTGTCAAATGTCCAGAACTCACAGGTTAATTTATGCTGCAGCAGTGTTCTTTAAAGTATTTAGATTAACTTAAATCCATACTTACTTTGTGTTTGGGGGGATACTCTCACCCTCTCCAATGGTATCATCTCGAATGAAGGTCATCGATGGTAGATTCTCAAGATTTTCCACATCAAAATATGAGCAGATAGCATCTTGCAGATTCCTAGAGAAAAGTATTTGAAATCCAGAGTCATTAGCTGTAATATCATCCTATAACTGTATCTTGCATTTCAAAAGTGAGATTTGAGAATTTAAAATGTCAGATACCAGTGAGAAAAGGCACATGAAAATGATGTAATAGCTCTAAAAATTTAAGCTTACACTGTTTTTGCAACATATGAAACACTCTATTGCATTTGCTGAAAGATGCCTCCAATATTTCACAGACATTCAAATGCACTCTGGACTTAGGGGGATAACAGTATCAAATGATGAGAGATAGATAACCACAGGAGATGAAGTTATTCCACCTGTAACAGTTAAATTTAAAGATCAACACAATTTTGTCAATTTTGGAGTTTCTCACCAAAGGTATAGAAAAGGTTTAACTGGAGTTTAAACCTTTTCCAGATTTTTTTTTTCTTTTGATTTTGCTGGGAATGAGTTCCAAGATCTAAAAGAAGAGAAAGTGCTTAAAGCAGCTACAGTTTCATTTAATTTCCAATTTTTTTTGGGACTTAGAGATTGTTTTTGCTGACAATCCTTCATATGATTTTGTGGGTGACTTGGGCAGTTCTATTTTGACATTTTACCAGGACATTAAGCATCCTGGGCCTTACATACTGACAATAAGAACTGGGAAGGGGCTCTTCATTTAGGGCTAGGCCCTCTTTAGGCATCACTCCAGACTAAAATAGGATTGATAGCTTGGATCCTGAGGAACAGATTAAAGTTTAAAAATAATCAAACCAAAAGCCAACAGTGCAGAGTAGGACCTTAGTGTTCTTGGACTATGAACACCCCTGTCTAGATGCTTTGATGGTGAAGGTGTTCAATGGGTACTGTACTGAGTGAATCATGAACAGCCCATATAACCCCCAACATTTCTCAGTGAATTGCTGTGGCCTATAGTTGGTGGGTAGGGTAGTATCCATTGTGAGGATAGCCTCCAGTAAGGAGGCTATCCTCACAATGCAAGGTTGCACCAGACCTGGGGGTTTCCTATATTTTTTATACTTCCTCCCCCATTTTTCTTTTGATATGGATTTGGAAGGGGTCAAGACAAGACCACATGAGCTAGTCATGTTTAATTTTCATTTAATTTTCAAAAAATTCCTGATCACATTAGTCTGTGCCTCCATAGTGTTTTGGAGAGTGCATGTAGGGGGACAGCAAGTTATTGCTCAGGATGACAAATGTACAGATCTAGGAGGTTAATCATTACTTATGATAATACCTTCAATGAGAAAATTAATGAAGTGAGGCATGTAACAACCTCATCAAGTATTGTCAAGTTTTAATTCCTCATGAGAAAAAAATATTTGCCAAGACAAAAATATGCAATTTGCAGAATTCATTAATAGCAGTATCTGCTCTTTACTGGGTCTGAAGCCTTTTCATAAGCCTTGAAGGCCTAAGGTACACAAAAATACACTCAAGTTCAATGATGATACATGTGCTCCTAGTGTTTGGCATCATACATCTGCTGATTATGAGTGAATAGTACATAGGCAGCCATGCTAGACCAGTGTTTCCTAATATAGATTCTGATATCACTGTTTTGTTCAAGCTAATTTCTCATCTCAAGTGAGATTCACCTCTGCCAGAAGATTTCTAAAATACAGTGAACACTCTATAATTAACCTCTTTGTAAATAATTTTTTTTTCCCAAGTTCCTGGCTGTTTTTTCTCACTCACATGCACTTGAAAAGTTTCTCTATGCCAAAGTTCTGTTTAATGAATTGTTCTGTTTTATCAAGTAATTTTTTCATCCATAGGAAGATAACTGTTTCATATTACAAATTGTAAATCTGCCTCACAAGTTGGAAAATCTAATCTCATTTCAAAATTTAGCTCAATCCACCCACTTATGGCCATGAGGAGTGAGGGAGTTCTGTCAGCCATAATCTCAAATCTTAATGATCAGGGTCAGGTCAGGTCTGGAATTCTGCTTGATCAAATTAATTGAAGTCCTTGGACTCTCTTCAGCTGTTTTTCAATCAAAGGCTGAATGTTGAACCTGAAACTTTTCAAGCATCAAGTGCCCAGCAGACCATGGCTCAAGTTATCATTCAAGAAAGAGCACAGCAGACAACCATTTGGGACTTCATTTCCAATGAATAGACAGCATCAGTGACTCATCCGATTTTTATTACACCTACAGAAGTGCATGCTGCTGTGAATGCCCATTTAGGTACATAGATACATCTTGGAAGCTTTATTTTTTCTGTATGGCACACTTAGGCCTTCACATTTTTTCATGAACAACTACTTGCTTTTTTTTGGCAATGACATTTTAAAGTAATATTGACATAAGTTTAACAAGTTTCTTTTTTCAGTGAAATGTGAAGAATTCTCATTAATAAATTTTCCTCATAATGAATTTTTTTTTCATCTGTCCCTTCAATATTGAGCTTTGACTAAACAGAGGCATTTTTTGCAAAGAAAAATAGTTACTGCCTTATCCATCCCTAGATAATAACATCTGCATTTCTATAAGTCTTGTAAAGAATAGGAGATTAGGAAATTGGAAAGGCTTCATCAAGAGTAAGCTCACCAGTCACTCATGTCAAGGAAGAACGCTGCTGTATCATCATTGATGTGTGGTCCAATGTATCTTTTCAACTCCATCACTAATTCCTCTTTATCTGTGGTTCCCAAGCACCGGAATTGCTGAAGGAATTTCTGGTCCATCTCACCATCCACTTCCATTCTTTTCAGTTCCTCTTCTAATAATGATTTACTCCAAGCTATGCACACAAAAGGAACTGTTACTGCCAACTACACATCTGCAACAGAGTTTCAACTGATGTTTCAATTGGCTTGGTCTACATGATGGATTCATGATTTGATTTGTGATGATCTGTAAAACAAGATGTTAGGCATCGGGCAAGGGAATTTCACAATGGCAGATACAACACTTTGGTGCACATAAGAAGCTTATTCTGCTGGTGGAGAAGAAGAACTTGAGCTGCATGGACTTACCAGAAAGAGAATAGTTAGGCTGATGAGAAGCATTCTTCATAAATACAGGGTTCTTCAGATAAATTTCTTAGTCATCATGTTGCTTAGCAAGAAGGGGGTGGTTAGGAAGCAGATTATTCATTTATATATATTCCTAATATACTCACCATTCATATAGATGCTATGATATTATATAAACCCCCTATGAAAAGACTTGATATATTCAAAAGAGAAAGTACAAGTAGCAGGCAGCAGTTCTTTATTTTGATGTTTAACCCTTTCAGACCTGATGTCCATTCCAATGGACATTGCATTTTCATTGTGTCTATGGTAATTTCTTGGGATTCTTGTGACTTTGCACTCCATATTACATTACAATGGGTGTAATTATGCATGGTTCAATACTATCAAAGGCCTTCTTTCACCCAGCAGTTTTGTAAATATCAGTTATCTAATAAAATGGATAATATGGTAAATTTATACAAAATATCAAAACAATATAAATAAAAAAAATTCAAATTACAAAAGAGCTAAAAAAATGTAGAAAAGGATATTATTCCAATAGTGGCCTTAATTCGGGTTAAGGGTTAAGGAGGCTGTGGATTCATATCAGGAGGGGTCATTGTATTAGATAGGAAACACCTACAACATAGATTCTGATGATTATAATATGAATTGTGAGGTGTTGCAACAGGGAGAGGATTTTAATGATGTCTCTCAAGTTCTTCTACATGGTGCTCATTTTATCATGGACCCCACTAAGACAGGCTGACAAGGGGTGATGTCATCCAGCTTTTCTACAGTCAAAACATGCTTCATACAAACTCTCTTCTTGTCAAGCAATGATCCTGTTATATGCAGTTTCATAACTAGCCTCTGGCTTGTCAATTAGCTAGGAGCTGGAGCATCAGAATATTTTCGGTGGAACTTTGATTCACACTTTTTGAACAGCAAGTACTTCACATATTTACTGTGCAGGAAAACTCTCTGCTCAAGTAAATACTCATCACATGAAACCAACCTGTTCTTCAACAAGGGTAGACTCAAACAGAAACATCTGGCAGATGGCAAGTTTGCTAGCAGGTACTGGGCTCAGCAACCAAGACATCACTCTTTAAGCAGCCCCTCATGGCAGGGCTGGCAATAAAACGAACACCCTGTACTTGTTAATATGCTTTAAGAGTGAGATGTCATTAGTTCTATCAAATATCACATGGTATTTTGTTGTCTGTTATGCACATCACAGATTATGCTGATGGAACTGGCAATAGACTGACTATGGCTTGCAACTTCAAAGTAGAGCCCGTTTCATTGCTGGTGAAGGATGGTTAGTATGTGGACTGAGTCTGAGAGAAAGACAAGGTATTTAATAATAAAAAAAGTAATCAGGAGTATTGATCAGAGTGAATAGGCTTGATGGCTGTTGAGAGGATCCAATGAGGACTGTTGAGAAGCCAGTTGATAGGTCAGTGCTTCTAATAAGTGTTTGTGGTTGAAAGACTATTTATTGATGGTTGGGTCATTCTCAGTTTTTAATTAGATAGGATGCATATGCAAACAATATAGGCATGCTGTTTACCATAAGAACACAGGGTGGAGAGGAAAGAGTATTATGACAAGTCTATATCATGGTGTTGTTGTCAGGTTAAGCTTGGGTAGGAATGGCAAATAATAGAGCCAGTAGTATTGGAAGGGAAAGTGAGTTCTCCACAATGACAGAGTTATAGATTCCAACAAAATGATTCTTCAATAGCTAGAAGAGTGCCCCTTAGCTCCTGGCAAGGCCAGGAGCTAAGGGGCACTCAAGATGATGAATAGATAGATAGATTGATCTATAATGTTATCATGTTCTCTCTTTCTCACTCTTCCCTTATACTTTTTGCACACTGATGACTTCACCTGGTTTGCTGCTCTCCAGGTGTACATGAATGATGTACTGCAAGTCAAGAAGTCCTATGAAATTGGATGTTGTTATATGTACACTTGACTTCAGGCAAGTCTTAAGACAGGATGTGGGAATTGTTTGTAGGTCTAGGTTCAAGATGTCAGAGAGGGATGATGTTTGGCCTTGGGTATTGGCAGTGGCAGTGGGATAAGGGCATCATAATCCATGGTGGGAGCATGAATCACAAAGGCTGAAGCCACAAGGAACAATGGTTGCCACTCCACAGTGAGGCAAGCTTTAGGTTACAGTTTTCATTCATACCAGTTATCACAAAAAAGCATTATTATATATAAGAAAATGAATAATCTAAAGAAGTATGCAACCATTGAGGAAAGGGGCATCATCACATTCATTAAAATCTAACTGGGTCATGCACCAGAGTATTTTAACCTGAATTTAATTTACTGCAAAGGGTGTAGGGTCTATATAAGTCTCTGTGAGGAGAGTAAACCCCAGATCACAAGGACATTGATTCCTCTCAGAAGCTGGATGGGAGGAAGAGCGAAATGTTTCACCCTGAATTTCAAGGGAGACATTGGCCTGTATACAAGAACCTATCACATGATAGCCTATTACATGGTAGCTATCATGATAGGTCTATTATTTGCTCAGTTCCGTATGCTAGAACAAATGATAGGTATCATCGTGAGGCCTATTATGATAGGTATTTTATACCTATCGTGATAGGTATTCGTGAATCTTCCTGTTGACAACCTCATATCCATCGTCTCTCACTCAGGAACAATGCCATGTGTACCTGCTCACATGACTGACCAGAGTGTTGTGTGATGATTTAATGGTATTAATCTGACCCCATTTACCGGACTAGTGCTTGAATTCCGACAGCCATGGCTTGATACAAAGAATTCTACAGAATATAATCTATTTCAGAGTAACTGCACTCAGCACAAGTTGTGATGGTTCACATAATTAATTGGGTTAATAAAATGCACAGCAATCCACCCAGGTAGATCATTATAAGCAGAATAAACAAGCTCTGGATCATAATAGATTGAAGCAATTCTTATACCTATTATGATACCCTATCATGATAGGTATAAAACATTTCTGCATACGGCCAACCTATCAAACCTATGGAACTTATGTGATATCCCCCAAAATAGCTATTTTATTGGTTTTATACATTCTTGCATACCAGCCATTGACCACAAGAGGGCGGAAAGGAAGTTTAATCATGCACAAACATGCAAACACCTCCTCTCCTTCTAGGGGGCAAGTAATGAAAGCCAACATAGCCATCAAGGTTGACAACCTCTATCAAATCTCCATTACCCCAAATTTGTTATGATGGCGACAGTAGGCAAGAAATATCATGCAGAAATGAAACTCATTGAATTATTTGAGCAAAGATCTTGGTATTAAGATAGATAGGAAGGTAAGTCACCTCTCTCTTCTTTTCCCACCTCTTCAAGGTTTTAATGCAGACAGGACACATTGACAACATAGCATCTCTGTAAACCTTAATGTAATTAGCACTGACAATCCATGCCCGAAAACTGTCACACTCAAATAATTACTAATTCATGGCTAACATTAAATATATGGCTAATTCATGGCTAACATCAAGTAGAAGGCTAATTCATACAAGAAAGGAAAGAGAGCTTCAATAAGCCTAGCACATGTAGGTACATATTCTAAAGTGGTGGAGGCGTAGCTAACGAACAGGGCAAAGCTGAAGTTGACAATCTTTGGCATGGTTTAAGTTAGGAGATTGATTCCGTTCTTCAAGGTCACAAAAATTGTTTTCAAAGTTGAAGGAACCACACGTGTGTTATCAATCTCAGAACCTGTGATTCAACAAGATGATGGATACAACATGCCCAGCGCTGCACTTGCATGATGTTTTAATAGCCTAATTGAGGCCTATGTAGATTGATGTGGTGCAGGTTTATCGCATCACGGGTAGCTCTATAGTCCTTGGCCTGGACGTTGTCGCACGGAGGCATCCATGTTGAAAGCGTCCTTCTTTTGGGACGAAGCCCTTGCCATTATTAGGGAGAAATGTGAGCGTCAAACCTTTTTATTTTCTTTTATTTTAGCCGAATTTTACTATGTGCCGCTCAAAAATATTCGCCGGGAGTGACTCTCCAGTTGATGGTCAGTAAAACCTTTTTCGAACAGCCTACTAAAAGGAATTCGGAGCAGGACCCAACTATACACGGTCCGCATTCAAGATGGTGGCACCCACGAGTTGGATCTTCCCGTAGGTAGGGGTCATAAATCCCAAAGGCGATGTGTCTCAAGGCATGGCGTACTGTCAATTTGAAGTTCATTAGAGGATGAGAAAACCTTGACATGAATCTACTATGATTAGTAGAGAATAGAAATATGGAGAAAGATGAGTTAGAAATGCATGAAGAATTTAAAACGGAGGTCATCGATGATGACGAGAGGGATACTGGAGATGTGGAACGGGGAGCAGAGGATGATTGTGTTCAGCCAAAGGCATCCTTCGATGTGATAGAATGTGATCTGGATGAAGAGAACAACCCTAGCAAAAGTCAGAGTGGTAAGTGGAGCTTTTTAGAATTTGGAGTGTGATGGATTGGACATGGGTAAAAGGATGAGTGGAATGAATTATTTTTCATTTTCAGCGGACTTCTTGTTGAGCTGTAAATGTGGGAGACTCTACAAATCTCTCACATGGTTGAAGAAACATCAATGTAGATCCCCCAAAGCAAGAACTCTGGTAAAGAAAGAAAGTCGGCGTAAGGGGGAAAAGAAGCATATTTGTGGATATTGTGCAAAGGCATTCCATCTCAAGCATGATTTGATTGACCATGAACGGACACATACCAAGGAGAAACCATTCCTCTGTGACACTTGTGGAATGGGTTTTGCCCAGAAGAGTCAGCTCATGATTCATCGAAGAGCTCGGCACAGTGACACTCGACCGTTCTCATGTCGTTTCTGTGACCGCACATTTGTGCAACGGATCCATTGTCAAAATCATGAAAGAACTCACACAGGTGAAAAGCCTTTTCACTGTGAGGAATGTGGAAAGGGATTTAGGACTAAAACCCCCCTAAAGGCACATTTGCTCCTACATACGGGGGAAAAACCTTATAAGTGCCCACATTGTGAGAAAGGTTATCGTACCCACTGGGCTTTGACCAAGCACAAGGAGGTTCATTCAGGATATGTGAACCCCATTGCCATATATCGATACCCATGTCGACATTGTGAACTGCGCTTCACATCAGGGCATCGAAGATCAAAGCATGAGGCCCAGGAGCATGGAGTGACCGACTCCAAGTCCCAGCAGAAACAACCCTCACAGTTTGATCACCACCTAGCTTTGCCTCTTTCTATCAATATTTCATAGCCTCCACCTTCTTTACATGCCACTTTGAGATTCTCTTCAATTGCAGACTTTGGAGCCATGAGTCTCAAAGCCACCACTAAGGAATATATACAGGGTGGCCATTATATTGGTTGACTGTCAATTTGCAAGGTGCAACTAAAGTGTTACAAAAGTGCAGAACTTATTGTAGCTTCAGTCACAACTTTTCCCTCTTGCTTTCCATGTATGCCTCTTGTTTTTTCAAAGCATCTAAACATCTTCCTACTTTCATTAATTTTATGCTATCCTCTTGAGTCCCATAGAAACAACATTTCCATCAAAATGTGACTTGCTTCCATCATAGAAAAATTTGATGGTGGGAGTTTTAGGAAAATTATTAAGTAAAATAACACAAATCCAATGCTTTGTTTTGAACATTGAGGAAGGTTCAGGTGCACTTCTGTGGAAGGAAATTTCATGTTGTAGCAATGAAAATGTAGATCCTCAAAGAAGGGTTTGCTTACAGATTGTAGTGTAAGTTCAAAGAAAACCCATTTATTGGGAAATGGGCTCTATGGCACAATGAAACCAAGTAATTTTATTGGGCTGGGTCAATCAATAAGGTCACATTTTAGTTGCACACAATTAATTTAGTCAACAAAGTGAAGCTTAGGCCTTTCCCCCTAGAATACTTATGTTTTGGTTAATGACAGGAATGATGTAATGCAGTGGTGAGCCTTTCTTTCTTTGGCCTGCAAAATAATACCTTTGCTGTGAACAAGCCTTAAGATAATACCTTCAATAAATGAATATCTTCTTAGGCCTCTTGAGTCAGTATGAAGTTGTAGACCTATGAAGTACATAAAGATCTATGAAGATAATTGAATTAATTATATGTACTGATCTCTATAGCTCCTGGATCCATTGGAATTCCCCTCCCCCCCCCCTTTTTTTTTGCAACTAAGAAAACAAGAGGAATAAATGCTTTTGATGGCTTTTATTTTTTCACCATGCCATTCCTTTTGAAATACAGGTATAAAACTGGTACCATGTCACAGCATCACCACCAGCTTGCTTATGAGAGAAAAAATAGCAATAACCAACTCCCTGCAGTCAAACCAAGGATGCTTGACAGTTCCATGAAAAGGTCTTTGTGACTTTTGAAGGAAATAGATTGTGGTGGTGAATTCTCTCCTTCAATCCTCAATACCATATCTTTCACAGCGTGCCCTCCAGGTCAATTATGAAAGGATTTCTCTTGTGAAGTCATGGGGCTCCCATTTCTTGGAAATACTGAGTGCTTTTTCCCATTGCTGAGACTCTCTTTCCAATTGAGGTTTCCTCCAAGCTGTTGGTTCCAGCTCCAACATCCCACCTAAAATCTCCTAGGAAGATCCATGCATAATTTCATCTGACCCCTTCCCCTGCCTCAAATATCAACACAATCAAAATTAAATCAGTTACCTTCTTGTTTTTTTTTTTATTCTGTTGCACCATCTACAGTAATATATAGCTCAAACTGTGTCACGAAAAAAGTCTCTTCATTGAACATAGTATCTTCCTGTAATTATTAAACAGTGTCACTTGCTCACTGCCTGCTTTAATATCTCACTAATTTTGACATGTTTGAATACCAATTGAGGATTGCTAATATTCTATACTAGAATAAACATCTCAATATAATCCACAAAATTGGAAGGCATTAAGACTTTACTACAGGAACATGCAGCTAACTGTGAGTGCCATTCATATGTGATTTGCCCTCATGCAAAAGCCCTGTAAATTAAGAAAAGTGGTCCTAGGGCAAGTGGAACAAGTACATTGTGGGGTGGTACCAAAAATTGCTCATTGTATGTTTCTGTAGGTGTGCCCAACAAAATCCAGCCACAGTCATGCAGCTTCCTGGTCACAAGACCAGGCCACGTCCAAAAAGTGGACATATAAACTTTTGGAAAATGACTAATTTCTCTTATATAACATCTTGGGAAAACTTTGATAGTATTTTTTGTACAGTTACACTTTTAAGCATGAAAAGGTTACCATCAGCCAGAAACCTCTGCTGAGATTATTGCTCTCATTGTGATGACTTGTTTTTCAATGGATGAGCTAGGTTTCAGAGTTCATGGCATCCATCCTCAAAAAACTGGAATGTTATGACACATCTGCAAGGCATAGTTCTTCAAAGAGTATCTTCCATCCCATCTCTGACTTTCATTGGATCAACTTGCTGACCCAGACTAGGCAGACTTTTGTTTTGCTTCTTAGCTCAATAAGTGCATCAGCAGTTCACAATGACAAAGTCATTTCATCCTCATCCTCAAACTCCCTCCACCATGTTATCTCTGAATGAAGAGCAATAATGCAGTCCTAGTGTGAAAAAAAAAAGGCTGCCTGTAAGGCAAATGCAAGTGACACCTAGGAGCAATCACACCCCATGCTAATAGACACGTATAGTACCAGTCCTCCATTCCCAAGCCATATGAAAGCTTTGATGGACACAACTTTTCTAACTCATGTAAGCAATTTGTAGCATTTGCTACTTGCAAAATCAGGATTCTACCTAGAGCTGAACATGTTTGCTACCAAAGTCAATTATGGTTGATTTACAAAACTCTGCCAAGAATGCCATCATTGACTAAGGTAAGTTTGAAATGTCATGCTCAAATAATTCCACTAAGTGCCCTTCTTATTGAAGGTTAGTTGTATTGAACATTTTAGATTTTCAGCTCAAATGGATTTCTTCCTGTGACTTACTTTCTTAAATTGTGCACATTTTTTCAGACCCCAAAAAATGCTGGCAATCAAGATCTCAGTATAAAGGCCCAAAGGGGAATGTGTTAATTAGCTGTTCATGGAAAATCTTTAAATTAAATGTCATCAGTTTATGAGTATTGCAGAGTGTTTTTCATTTACTTTCTTCTTTACTCCTTAAACATTTCCCATCAATCCCCTCCAGTGAAATATCCTAGGTGAACACAGCTGCAGAGCAATAACACCAATAAATTATAGGTCTAATTGAAAGTTAAAAAGTTAAGTTCTTTTGCTAGGCTGAGTTGCATCACTAGTGAATCAACCCAAAAAGAATATCAATTATTAAGAACTTATAAAATTGGAAGGCTGATTCTGAAGCATAGAAAGTATGAAGAGCTCTCACCTGTGCAAAATTTTGAGGGAAGAGTCGTTCATCTTCTATCACATGGGCAAATCCATCCTTCCAGTTGAATCTGACAAAAAAATAGGGAAGTCCCTTGGGAATCCGGTGCCTCACATCTTTCCCTTTCAAGTCTACCAGTTTTCTGTTCTGACTCCATTCTTGCTCACACTCCAGAATGGCTTTCTGCATTACATTCATTTGATTGGGTTATGGTATGCTTAAATATAGATATATAATGTTTTGTCTGACAGTCTGCAGGCAATTTTAATAGTGATCCATGTGTAAAGTTGGCTGGCAAATAGCAACCTCCTGTTATTACTATCAAGGAGAATGAATGAAAACTCCTGGAGACAGGACACCACCATCACCTCATTTGCATATTACATGTCTTGAGACCTACCAACATTACAAAATGGTGATGATACCCTTTTTGCACTATCAGCCAGCCACTCTTATCCAAAAAGTTTGTTTGAGCAAACCAAGATGATGGGGACACATGCACATGACAAGAAACTAAAAAGTGGAAAAAGCTTTTTTAGAATGCAAGGAGGAAAGCATAAACAATTCTGCTGGGATTATACCTATTTGTACCTCAGTCAATTTAACACACATTAGTTTTGAAGAATGCTGAGTTTTCAATGCTGGACCTTTTTTTTTTTTCAAGCTCTTTCATTCTTTGTTTTTCCAATCTTGGAATTGTTGCAGGTTTTTAGATTTGCAGTTGCAAGGTAGTTTTATAAATAAAAAAAAATTCAAATAAAACATGATAGAGTAGAGACACCAGTTTGAGGACAGTTTTGCATTTTTTGTCATTTCACAAAATTCATGCCAAAAATGTATTTCCTCAAATGCTCCATATTTTGCACGTCTGTCAGCCACCATATAAATTATGCATACCCATCAGCACGAGTGAACTTGGACATTTTCACATAGTTTCAGACCTAGCACCCCTTAATTCCTTAATTTTTCCAATTATATTTTTCAACAGGACATCAATGAAGATGAATAAAAACTGCTGTACATATCTCATGCCCATATTTTTCTATTTGGCCTATGTATGTTCATAATTGTTGACAAAAACTGGTGTCCACAAACTGGAACCATGTGAAAATCAACACATATTCATTTGAACAGCTGTTGTTAGAAAGGCATATTTTAAATATTTATTTTAGGGTATCAGCATCAACTATAAGTGGCCTCCCATTGAAACCGATCAAGTGGTTTCTCAGTTATCCCAGTGACCATAATGCAATTTTCAAGAGGAAAATTTCCTAAACCTGTCCACAAACTGGTTTCTTTACCCTAATTGAAAAGATGGTAATGGGATGGGAGATGAGGGGTAACAATACTTGAATGTTTTGATGAATGTCAGAATATGAAATAGGATAAAACATCATCTTTTACCTTGAAATACATAGGAGCTAGATCAGCCAGTTCCCTCTGAAGAGGTATGCAATGGATGGAAAGATGTGGGAAATGCTTCAGGCCCATCGCCGACTCAAAAAATACCACATCCTTCCCCTCCCCTTCATACATCCTTACCAGCCCATGAGCAAAGTCCTGTACACACAATTATACTCTCACCTAAGAGGATGCAGTCAAGTCCAGACTTTGAAACCATCTTATACAAACCTGGATTTCAGCCCACACATCTTCATCTGCTGTTGTGCAACAGGAGACATGCTGCAGAGAGGAGATGATACATTGCCCCTCAACCAGAGATGCATAACCTGGAACACTCAAATAGGCCTGGATAAAACAAAATGGATTCAATTGACCAGGTGGCTGAGAGAAGCAGACTGTCTTGAACCCTAAGACAAGGGGAAAAGAGACAAACCAGCTTGCCCATGGCAACAACAAGGTGCTTGATCAAACGAGGGCTGTCAAAACATAGACGACAAGACTCCATGGCTCTCTGCCGGCCAAGAGACTCACGAGCTGCAGCTTTGCGCTCTTGCTGTTCCTCTTTCTCCACCAATTTTGAATCGGAGATACGAGACACAAACAGGTCATCCACATCGAAGTCTTCTCTGGTTGCACCCTGAGACTTTCCAGCAAGGAATGGAAGGAGAGTTTCATCACTCTCTTTTCCTTCTGTTCTCTTCTCCCTCTCAAACTACACAAATCAAGGCATGAATTCCCTCAAATAATGAAGATCAAATCACAGGTTTGAGAACTGAACAAATAAGAGTTGCATCTGATAACAGTTTCTTCCACTGTATTTACCATTGCATGCAGAGAATGCTTGGCATCATCAGCAAAGTAGCGGACACGATCTCCCCTAGAATCATGAGTATCCTGTTTGACCCGTCTGGATGGACCTGCACCTGAAACTCTTGACACAATACGTGTTTTCACAACTTCAACCTCTCTTCCCTCCTTTCCATCTCCTTCCAAGCCATCTTCATATTTTCTGGCTTCATCCAATTTTGCTTGAAGCTGCCTAGCCAATTCCTTGTTACCCATGATTTCAGCCTTGATTATTTTTGCTCCAAGAGTATTTTTTTCTGACTCAGTCAACTTTGTCACTTTGCAGGCCTTTCCATCATCCTCCCTGGATTTTTCAGAACCATGCACTTGTGGAACTTCAGGAACAGCTTCTTGAAGGGTTTTCTTGGGTAAATGATGATGCAGAGAGGTATCTCCTGGCCTTTTCCACCCCTTCTCATACTTTCTTCCCTTCATTCTCAATTGGTCCATTGATTCATGTCTTTTCCCTGCATCTCTTGATTCTCTTCCATCAGCACGAGCCAAGAGCTCTTCAAGTTTCTCTAATGACTGCAACATGATATATGGGCATCAAGAATTTTTGAGAGACTGAATCCATCATTTCTATTAAAGAATTGACACACAAGACACTGACTCCCCATCTTCGTCGGGCAATTTCCTCTAAGGGCACACCTTCTTCTTGAGCTTGCTGGACTGCTCTCTGGTAAGCCCTTCGGATCCAAGAAACACCATTATCTCCAACACCATGAACTGGATTCTGCCTCTTTGCTTGCTTCTCTTCTTTTGGCAATCCTGTGCCTCCATCCTTCCAGTATGGATTCAGCTCTCTTGTATGCTGTCCTGGCTGGAATGACGAATGTGACTAGATCTATGCAAAATAAGGAAATGTTAAACTCATCAAGATTCATCACCTTCTCCAGGATGTTTCTTGAATCTGGATCTGGTCTGTCTTTCTGCCGCTTCTTTGCTCCCTGTCTTTGCTTCATTTGATCCCTGGTGAAGGCTGGAAACAAACTTGGTGCAGTCATCCATTCCTCTCGTGTCTCTCCTATCTTCTCCTTCTCTGTCCAATTCTCACCATCACTTGCCTATGCCATCACAGAATTAGATGCCTATGGCATTGGACACCTCTGATGTTGTCAAGCTCATTATGATGCAAAAATAATACAAAATACAATCCTACCCCTCTTTATAAAAGCATTTGATTCAAGGTATATACATTTGGACATTCCTTAAGAAGCTCTTATGAAGTTTAATAAAGAAATAAATGTTCAGGAGCCACACACACAGACTTACAGAGCATGAGCTTGAAACATTGCCTCTTTCTTTCTCCTCCTGTTTCTCTTTCTTCTTTTTCTTTTTTTGCTTCTTTTCCTTTTTCCTTTTCTTCTCTTTCCTCTGTTTACGTTTCATCTTCCTTTCTTCCTGAAAGATGATACAGAATAAGAAAATGTACAAGTGATTCATCACTGATTGACAGGTACTTACAATAAGATGCTTGACAAAAATTATTAAATGTCAGTAGGCATCAGAATTGCCTAGGCATATTACATATGGGGTACTACTTTTTTCACAATTACATGCCACCTGTATGCCAACTTATTCAAAATGGTATCCATTTACCAACAATATACACTTTGTCCCAAAAAATTTTGGAACTTTTTTCAATTATTAGCCACTCATAATAGGTTCAGGCTATCACTATGCTATGGGCTGACTAATGCATCAAATGAGAACATGCATGCAAACTTATAATAATATTCATTCATTGGTTCTTGAAATACAGGAGGTGATTCAGAGCATGCCAGCAGTAAGGAAGTGCAGCCAGAACTGTACCTCTGCATTAGTCCAAATTCAGTGCTGTGCCTCATACAGGATGGCTGACACGATGCCCACAACCAAGATTAGTCTTTTCTGTTAGACACTCGGATGAGGTGCTCAAAGTGCCCACTGTGTCATTCTGTGAACAGGCATGTGATATTGATAGAAACCTAAATGCTGCATGGTCTGCATTCTCCTGCAATGGGGGGAACAGCGAGTTTCCTCTCTGGCTGGCTGTGCACACACAGAGTGCGGCTGGTGGCAATGGTCCAACACAACTTTACTTAGAATAAGCTGCTGCATCTTCAAAATGAATCAATGGATTTTGATACAACTTTGCATGTACAGGGTGGTCCACAATTGTCTCCCCCAAAATAAAAGCTTATTACTCAGGAAGTATACATTTGATTTCAATTATATATTAGTCAAACAATAGCCATTTCAATATATTTTTATCATGGAAATTTTCAGCATTCCATATTAAACTAGAAAAAAGTTACACCATAGCAAATGAAAGTACCCATATCGTGCAACTAAAGTCTGTAAATATCACAATCCCATCTGAATTTCGCAATTCCATCTTGAGCTTCGTGATTCATTTGTGCGTTTTTCATTCATCGCGAGGGATTGTCTGCGTCATGGGTGACCTCAGTATCCTGCAGAAGATGAATACTGTCATTTGGTTTGATAACTTGAAGAGAGCAAATTTGTGTGGGGAAAACTTGGAAATTTCTTCCCTTTGAGTCCAAATGCTTCAGTTTCTGAGGAGAAGATCATGAAGGCAATTCATAAGAGGTTTCTGGACCTGAAGAGATTCATCAGTGGACCTATGACAACTTAGATATGCTGAAACAGGCCATCAAAGATGACTTTGCCACAGTAGTACCAGAGATGATTGAAAGAATTCTGCTGGCATTCAAAGAGAGACTGCACCAATATGGACAAGTGTGGACAATTGTGGATGTCATATTGAACACTGGTGATTTGGCAGCTTTCATTTGTAGGGATGTAACTTTGTTCTAGTTTCTTATGGAATGCTGAAATTTTCCAAGATAAAATATATTGAATTGGCTATTGTTTGAGTCTTACATCATCGAAATTAGATGTATACTTCCTGAGTAATAAGCTTTTACTTTTGGGGAGACAATTGTGGACCACCCTGTATGTGCTCATTTGATGTCTTAATCAGCCTTCAAAAGTGCACAGCTATAGTCTGAACCAATTATAAGAAGCTACAAATAGAAAAAGGTTCCAAATTTTTTTAGGGACAGAGTGTATATGCAGGCAGAATATTTACCACTTTGTACTTTGCTAGCACTATCATAGTACAGGGTGTATCAAAAACTTTTTTGTAGGGGGATACCAACCAAAGGTTAAATGATAGAGTGTGGGAAGTCAAGCCAAGGCACAAGATTTTCAATGCTAAATGAATGAAACATGAGTGCTTTATTGCAATAAGTGCCATTGACTCTGTGCTCATCTTCCTATCTACAACAATTTGAGATGTTACATACCAATGTACTGGGTTAGCCATAAAAAATTTCCTTTTTAAAGACATGTTTCCCATAAATACATGTTTCAACATCCATTTGCTGAATATTGAAAAATGACAACCTAACAACATTGATGAGAAGAAGTAGAGCATCACAAGGTTCATTCAGGCAATTGCAAGATAAATGTGCCAACAGTGATCATCACCAACTTAGGTGCATGGATAAAAGAGTACTTGAACAGAAACAGTGACCACATTGAGCATATGCTTTATTGACTAAATCATAAATAGGGAACCAATAATAAAGATGTTTTTAAAAAAACTCCCTGAGTTCTTGAGTATATGGAAAAAATGTGACATTTCTATCATTAAAATTGAGCAACCTATACAACAATCAACCTAGATGCTTTTCATTGGCTAACCCTGTACATCATAGAGGCATAGAACAATTAGCATGTGACAGACAATATAGAAAGAATTCAGACTTATGCTGCATATCAATGACCAACAAATAACCCAAGAACATCTTGATTGATCTAATGCCAGGATTCATTCTCACTCATCATCTATGCAATGATAAGAAAGAAAATAATGAATATCCCCGATCCGTTTCGTTCAAATTTTTGGACACTGACCATTCACTCAAATAACTCCACAAAAAGAAGTCACAAAAGGTGAAGTCAGGGTTACATGCTGACTAGTCAATGGCTCTGTATCCACCTATCCACAGACCTGGAAACTTTTTGTCTGCACAGAACTTAGAATGTGCTTTTCTGTTGAAAGCTGCCCTGCCACATGAAATGCTAATTGTTACCAGCATAAAAAAAAGTAAGTTGTGCCTTTAAAAAAACCAAGCCTGAAAGAAGACAAAAAAAAGTGACTTTCATACACCCTGTACTGCCCCTCTCCTATCCATCACACAAAGATGCCTCTTTTTCTTCCATGGGTAAAGGATGGTAAAGTGTACACCTGTTCCACAAAGCAACATCACAATCTTGACCAAAATATTAGGCAATTTCTTTCTGTCTTAATGTATGCACCCTCAATGTGTCAACACCTCTCCACCATTAACCCTTTGTTGCATAAGAGCAAACTACTAGAGATAATGACTTCAAATTTGTCATACTCTCACTTTAGCAGCACAATTACTTTTAAAAATGCTTATCTTGCATCAGCCTGATACAAGAAACTGATACATGCATCCTGATTAGCCTACATTGATGAAACACTCTAAAAATTTGCTGATAGTGCCTTCAGAGTTGTCATCTTGGCACTGTCTCATAGTTTGACCCTTAACAATGGCCCATTGATGAAGTGGCTTGAGAGAAAGAAAAGTAAACTGGCACATACAATGGTGCTGCTCATTTCCATGACTCCTTGGATATTTGCCATTTCTTCATCTCAGCATTGGCTTACCTTACGACCTTGAAACTATGCTCAATATTTCTGTATATCTTTTGGAATTTTCCTGCCACGTTTCATTCATAAAACTCCTCTATGTGCCTGTTTCAGGCGATTAGTATGACCCCATAGCTGGTATTGAAATTGAATACTTTTGGCACTTTTGACATTTTTATCTCCATAAGTAGAAAGTGGCACTGTTCCTGTTTCTTCCACATCCTTGAAATTTATATCAATTTCATGTTACATTAGTATAAGCTTGTGTGTCAAATTTCATTAGGATCCCACAACTCCTTCTTGGTCATGCATTTCCCTTCTCAATGACTATGAAAAACAGAGACAAGACAAACAAAACGAGACATAAGCAAAAAAAGTATTGATATTTCCTGAATATCAATATTTCCTGAATATCAATATTTCCTGAAAGGATTCCTTAGAGGATTAATGAGAGAGGAGAATTGAAGTGTAATTTCCAGGGCCACTGTCATGAGCCTGAAAGCAATAGGCCTTACATTCTGCCTAGACACCCACAATGTTCAAATGTGGCATCCATGATATTCAGTATCACTAAATACATCATGTTCATGTATGGGGATGAACAAGTTGAGGAGCTATAGTTGCCAATGACATGCCCATGAGGAACGTGTGGTTGGTCCACATGTAAGTTTGTTCTCTCAGAAGTGCATTCCAGTGCTACTGCTAAATTTAAAAAATTGCTCTTTGCATATTAAATTAAATGATGAGGGAGACTCCCGGTTGTTGCCACCATAGTAGGAATAACAGAAAAAAAAACATGTAGGAGACACTGGAGAGTGGTAAGGTACTTCAACTCTGATTTTATTATGGTAGCTGAGATGTCTGCAAATATGGAAATGTTGTCTTATTAAAAGTTTTGGCTGTAAAATAAACTAAAAGTTCACAATCATGGGCACCATGCATCAAAGGGTTAATAAGATCTTGGTTATTTCAAAGGCCTAGAAGCAGATGGAGAGGATATGCATCTTAAGAGCCTCTTTAGTTAATGAAGTACACAAGGAAACTTAGTTTTGTCTAATTTTGTCAAGAGAAGATGGAATCTGATACCATCCATGTATACCATAGCATTGTTTATTCATGTCCCTTAGTACAGTACCTCATTCTTTATCAAAGTTATTTTCTTTGTGCTGATATATTTATTTTCTTTGTCATCAATGTCACTTATAGAATTGAAATCTTGCCAAGGGTATTTTTTTCTTTACTTATTTCTTTAAAAAAATTAAACTTATTCACATGAGAAAGGTTCCCTATAGGTGACTTCTGGCTATAAGAGGAAAGTTTAACAGTTTTTAGTTTTCCAAAAAATGTTTCACCTGAAGTGATGCAGCACATGGTTAACTTTCCAACTTTCAGCAGAATGTTGATCAGAGCTTATATATGAATTATCAGATTTTTGAACAAATTTTCAAGACATAAAAGGAAGAAGGCATAGTGCATTCTCATCAAATTTATCGAGATTGAATTAAAGCATCCTGAGATACAATGATTCAATGTTGACGGTCTTTATTGCCATACCCTGTGGATGAATAAGGAATATCTTAGTAAGACATGGAGAGAAAGCATGTTTAGAAATTGTCATGGGATGAGAGAGAATTTCTCCCATTTCCATGTTGCCTTACTTGCCCTTCTTGCTGTGTAAACAACCAACTTGCATTCCCAATTCCCAATCAATGTGATGTTGGCATGGCAAACATTTTGAACATAGTTCACTATAATGTTAATAGTACTTACCTCAGAATCAGATGAGGATGAAGAGGAGGAATTCATTTTCTTGCAATCACGTTTCACTGCTGCTCACTGAATTTCTCTCAAAATAACAGTTTGAACAACAAAACTTGAGATCAGGCACCCTAACATGAATGATGGGAGGGGGGGAAATGGGATAAAATTAAGATACAAATAGCATAGTAACAGAAAGGGTGGGCAAGTGGTTTAGTGGTATGCTTAATCCAGTGGTTTAGGGTTCAAAAACCTGTTAGTCAAAAGAATGAGTTTTGAGAGAACCCACATTGTGTATTGGATGGAATGTAGAAAAACTCCCCAAGCAAAGGGATATTGGGCAATGCAACTAAGGAGCAATCACTTGCTCAGCCCTTCATTAAGTGGAAGAATGGCGAAGGTATCCCAAGAATGTAAACAAGCATAACTGAGTGCCTTTGTGCAAACAGGCCAAGAGGCCACAGAATACTAGTCAAAACATCACTTGAAAGAACTATGCAAAGTAAACAGAAGGACCACTGTACACAAAATCAAAATTTTCTCCATTCTTTGGGATGACTATAATACCCGTATTTACTCGAATACAGTGCGCCACTGTGTATAAGACGCACCCCCGCTTTTGAGGTCCCAATTCGTGTAAAAATAAAAATGGATTCCCCGTGTATAAGGCGCACCCTCCCATTTCGTATCGAAAAGTGTCGGACAAGGGAGATGAGTGAGTTGCAAAGTCGGTCGAACCTAGTTTCTTATCCACTGTCCTGGCCTTTATCGAGAGGGGGTACAGTATCCCTAACGTTTGTTTTATTATCCGTGAACATGGATGGAAATGTACGGCGAAGTTACACGGAATTAGAGAAATCAAAGCGATTAAAGAAGCGAAGGAGTTGGGTATCCATGCAATAGGTCGTAAGTACAACATCGAGGTGAAGGCGAAATTGAGCTGGACACGAGTCTCATGGCCTTCCGTGGGGAAAAAGGGATAATTTCCGGCAATCAATAAGGAAGTTGCCGAATACGTAAAAAAAAGTGAGTCCGTACATCCGTAATAAAATCCTCGATGAACCATACCGTGTAAACACTTCGCTTCGTTCTGGCACTGTTAGCAGGTTTTTGGTCTCGAAGGGACGGTCTATGCATAAAACTAGGGTGATCGAGACGCGAACCCGTACACAGAGCAAACGGAATCTTCCATCGAAAATTCGATGCATCATGAGGATGAACGGCGCGACTCATGAAGCGAGTTGAGTTTTCTCTTCGTCGGAAAACTTCAGTCTCAAAAATTTCCATGAGAAATTATTGTTTACGGAACGACCCTTAGGGGGAGGATGAGAGCTCCGCGAATCAATTTTCCACGCTGCCAGACCTCTGATTCCGATTCTGAGACCGAATGAAGTCCGCGAATCGACGTAGCCTTTCCCTGTTTATTGTTTTATTATTATAATATTATATTTCCATTAACTGACTACAAACACTGTTTCCACCTCAATAAGATACCATTGAGTTATAGGTACACAAAAGGAAAAATTTTCTTGAAACTTATATAACTTTTTCCCCCCGAGTATAAGACGCACCCCTTCATCGAACGCAATAAAATATGCAACAAAAATGCGCCTTATACACGAGTAAATACGGTAATGGCCTTTAAAAAAAATATGGGGTTAGATACTGGATCAGTTGTGCCTCTCGTTGTAGGCTGAATTGAAAAGGTAACAACTCACAGCAGGCATTCCAAATGATATGTATGTATGAATGTTTACGTATGTTAATTAGGCTTTAAAAAATACAGTAGTTAGGTAATCACTTGCAGTGAGTAAACAGTGAGAAAAGAGAGAACCATATAAGGTCAAAAAACAATAAAGGTGGGATATGGTAAAAGACAGGAGAATAGCAATTATCTATCTGCATGCAAAGATAGCTGATATGCCAACATGTTTTAGATTTTATTTCAATCAAATTATATGAAAAGGATCCTTCAAGAGATATCAACAGCCAATACAGGACTATGGCCACAACTTTCCAAATGCTAACAAAATTAACCTGAGAGCAACAAATCAACAGTTAACAGAGGGAGAAGCACTAGGAGGGCAATAGCCCAGCTGATCTTCAACAGCTCAGTGCCTCCAAAGCACTTTCATTTTTAAAAAAGTTATAAAACAGCTTTTATACTCACAAATCAGAAATGGCTCTATTTCTCAATTTCAGATTTACATCTGCTCCACATCTCCATAGACAGTCAAGAAATCAGGTTCAACACAGTTCTGTGCACCAAATCAAGCCTTTTATTTCCTTCACAGTGTCTGAAGATCCCAGAATCTCACTCTCAACCCAGCCACCAAAAAGTACTTGTGCAGTTTTTCCTCTTTCCTCCTCTTTGACTAGATGTCTAGCATTAAACAAACTAAACAATCTTTTTGTTTCCTGTTTTAGCTGAATCAATTAGAAACTCTTTTTGACTCCAAAAGTGGATCACACAGTGGGGAGATTTAAATATCACAATTGTCACTGAAGTCCTAATTAACATTATTACAATGCCTAAAAAAAAACTTGCATAAGCAATAATCAAATGTGAGCCAATCCTACGGCAGTATCACTGAACAAGAGAACCTCACAAAGATTGCCCATGGATCTAAGAACAAGAATACATCCATTCTTAGTTTCCACAAGTGGTTTTCCAGTTCCAACTTTGAAAATGAGTATGTAGGCCTATAGATATGTGGCACACCTGGAGAATCATATGTAAGAATGGCAAGTGGCAGGGTAATTTTAAATGAAAATTTTATAGTTGATTCTGAAAAACTGCAGAAATCAACAACAAATGTTAACAAATAAGATTTAAGATCATCCAGAGATAAATAAATAGAAGAAATGAAAAGGCATATAAAAACCTATGCAGAGTGGCTATTTCATAGTGAAAGCTAGCTGAAAAGGCAAATCTATGGTTGATGTTCTTTCAGAGAAACGCCAGATTACAGCAATGAAAACTAGAACATAAACTGAGATCATGTGCATGGGTGTGGGTAGAGTCCCATGGCCTCTGTAGTTAAAGTGAAGATACTTTACCTCTCCATGTTTCATGAATTCCAGTCTGGATGATTGTAACAAGACAGCAAGATTTCACTCTTGTGTCATTTCCACTCCATCCCAAAATGAGAACTGCTTGAGAATATGCTCATAGACAAAAGTAACTTTATCACTGAAGTAAAGAAATTTTTGCACTGATAGCTGAAGTGTAGTATTGCAACAGGATAAATATGATGGATAATGCATTAATACTTGATTTCTTTGGATGTATCACACCACTGCTCCCAAATGAGATTATGTGTACTTGAATGTGATTGTGTAGTCAGTATTGGCCAGAAGGTACCTAAGGAGGGTAAAAACTTCAATGCTCCCAGCACCAGGCAGTATCACTGATATATATCTTTCATTCGTCTTTCACTGCTGATATCCCCATACCGGTATGCTTTGTCCAAGGCCCTGATGAACATGGTGACTTCTTTGCCTGTGTTTGCTCCTGATTTCAAAATGTTGTTTTCAAAACAGACTCAATCCTATGAACAAAACAAAACAAAACAAAACCAATGAGAAGAAACAGAAATGCATGAAGAACAAATATGAAGAAAAAACAACCATGCAACCAAGAATGTGAACTGAGAGGAAAAGAATTAGGCATGGACTTCCAAGATTCTGGTCACACCAACAACATTAGATTTTCCTCCAAGCTCATTATCACCCAAAAGGCATAGAATTGGTTTCATGTCAGTAGAGATAAAATGCAATCCCCATATGATTTAGCACAGTGAAGTGATACCTGTGAGTTTGTGGTAGAGCAAAACCATCCAATGATTTGCAGGTGAGTCAAAGAAAGGAGGATAAGAGAACTTCAAGACAATGACTTAGAACTCAGAAGACCAGAAGGAAAGGATGAAGAGAAAGAAGCACTCCTCACTGTTCAAGCCAAGTCTGGGCAGGTGTCACTGGTGGCGTGCCAGTGACCCTCACATTGAACTGCTTGATGGTTGCTTCTAAATTTGCTTGATTCCCTGAGAAGTATGATGACACTGCATTATGGAATAGCATCAGTTGCTTGTGCATCACTTTGACCTGCAATGGCACAAAAGGTTCCCATTCACCAAACAAGTTTTTGGGATACTTAGACAAAATGTTCTCAACATAGAATGAAATAAAATAAATGATGTGGCCACTGTACAGCCCACAATTATGAAATTAGTAAAAACTTCAAACCTTGTTATCATGAAGAAACTTCAATTTGATGCTAACTTCTTCACGTAGTTTCTCATAATTGTTCTTATGAATTTCAACTTGACTCTGAGCTTCATGAATTCTGGCACCACTGCTTTCTGATTTTGGTCCGCCAGTCCAAACTTCCAACTCTGTCCGATATGCATCATATTCCAATCTGAACAATAAATGACAAGACAATCAGTACAATAAAATCAAGGACAAATGTAATCATATTACTTCATCAATTTCCTCTTTTTCTGGTTCCTGACCTGGCAGCTTCAAATTTTCTGATTGACAACAAAGTATCTTCCATGGTCTTGTTGCAAAGTGTGTTGAGGGATGAGATAAAGTGACCAAGAGCTGCAAGCAGTATCTCTCCATTCTTAGACAATGTCCTCTGAGTGTCTGCATTATAGAGATATTCATCTTGCAATTCAGGTGTCTTTTGAGCCAGGTCTGCAAATGCCTCACCCATGGAATGCTGACAGGAAAAGAATAATCAGACTTGTAGTTTTGTCACATGAAGTGGCAAATCTCTGATTGAAAACAGTTAATTAAATATCAAGCACTGAGGCTCACTCACCTGAGTTTGAACAACCTGGTAGAAGTTATTTGCAAGTCCTTTTGCCAGGCGCAAAATATTAATGTGCCTTCTATGTGTATCTCTGAGTAGCTCTATCTGTGACTCTAGTTCTGGGAAGAAAAAATAATAGAATTCAATCTCTGATCTGCCATTTGAAACATTTGTTATCTGAGATGAATTATCAAATGAAAATTTATTTTAACTACTTTTGTTGCCAGGTAGGCACACACTTTGTAAGGGTGCCATCTCTGTAAAAAAAATATGTTCCATTCACAAATATTTATCTCACCTCTTTACACATTGAAGGTAAAAATGTGGAAGTAGAAACTAGATGGTTACTATTAGAAATTTGAAAGGAGAACCAGAAGATGATAGGATTGAGCACTAGGCATTTCACTTTTCTCCAATGAAGGATGGAGCTGCCATTTGATTGAAAACTTTTTCAGTGATCAAAAGAAAGCAAGCAAAACATCTCATTATCTGCCCAATATGTCCCAAGAGTAAATTCTAGCTGACTTCACTTGCACACAATGAGTACATGCACATGAAACTCAGTCAACTCTAGTTAATCCCAACGCTGGCTATCCAGGTCTTCCAGTAATATGGACATCTGAAATATTCCTGGCAGAAGTCTCATAGAAACAATAATTAAATTCCCTACTTAAACAGATGTTATTCTGCATTTTCCATTTATCTGGACAAGTTTTATTATCCTCTGGGCCATTCTCTCCTGTTGATTAACAGGACTTGCTAGCAAAAGACATGATACAACTGAAAATATTTCCCTGTCTGCACTCTCTCTGACCTTTGGAAGATTTTAAATGCTCAGGGAGATTTTTTCAAAAAGTTTTCTTTGAAAAATCTTTATTTTGCAACATTCTTTCATTGTCTATCCAAGAAAACCTTCTGGTGTGGACAAGGCCTCAGGTGAAAGGCAACTTGAGGTAGTAATTAAAATATTTCAACATCAATAGTATTGGATATAAAGAAGTGTTGCAATAAACCTGAATAGGATGCTGTCCTGGCTGGTGTCCCTCTCTTTGAAGATGCATGAATCAAAGTAAAAGAAAATTTGGCATTTTTCTATGTGACTGAAGAAAGGAACAGTGTCCAAGTGTACCAATCCCCTGGCAAATACAATGTATGCCTTTCTTTGCACATGCAGGTGCAGTTTTCTTCTCCAGGAAAAAAAAAGAAAAGAAAAATGGTCAGGTTCTTGATAATCCAGACAAAATCACCAGTCCCCTTGAGCCCAGATTAATGAGAGTTGACTATATGCTAGAAATCCTTTCCATAAACTGCATTTGTGCATGGAGGTACTTCCAAGAAATAGTGTATGTCTCTATTTTCATGCAAGAGTGAAAAAATACTGGGTGGCATTCCCTATTGAGTAAATTTCATGAAAATGCACTAGTTATGAGTAAACTTACCCTTAGATTCAAAGAGAGAAAAACCAATCATTCTCTTTAGCATTCATATTCGTTTCATGAGTAAAATAATGAAAACTCAAGGGTACTTGGATTTGAATGATCATATCCACAAGTGATCACTACTGGTTATCTCTATGGAAACTACTCAGAAATCCAAACATAAGATAAGTACACAGACTAACTTTTTCTAATGGGAAGGAATAAGATGGCATATGAAACCATGCCACAAAAACTCAAAAGTGTGAAACATGAGATGATATGAAACAGACAAAAAATAATACCTATTAAAAACCTGAGACAAATATGCAAGACCACCAAATATAGAATAAACAGCAGAACCACAGCAAAGCATCTTAACCAGTATTTTTCAACATTCTCCTAGCTAAAGGGGGAGGGGAGGAGGACTAATCTAAGGTTAAAAATATAAGTCCTCGGATTTTGATCATATTTTACAGACAAAACCCATTTTGGTTCCTAAAGATGGTCCTGGAGTGTTTCATTTGAATCTTCACAGGTTCTAGAAACACCTTTAACCTTTTGAAACTATGTGTTCACCCATGCAGACCAACTTCCTTGAATTTTCAGCAGTTTTCTATAGCATTCACACAGCTAAGCAGTATGTCATATTTACACATATTGTCTTAGGCTTAGGTGCTAATATTTAAATTATACTTGAGCTAAATTTTATGCCAAACAATTGACAACATTGCATGATATCAAGAGTGTCAGGAGTCAGCCAAGCATGGGCAGTGTCATTAGCACTACTAGTGAATCTAAGAAGTGCTCTGAATCTTTTTTTTCATAATTCACTAACAGGTCATACTCGTACCATGTCATCAGATTTAAAAAAAATGGTGACGGATCTTAGGTTTTGATGCAAAATCAGAGATATTAAAAAATTAATACAATGGAACATTAACTATTTCAGGCATGAATCAAATTTCTGTTCTGACACATTATACGTTGGAAATCTCTCATATTTAAGTCCATGACGTAAAACTCGTTCATATGACCTCTGGAATTGTTGTTAGTTAAAAATTTATATGAAACCCTTGGGGAGTTTTGAGAAAACAAAGCTTCTTGTTTCCCATGAATTGATCTTGAATGCTGAATTTTTTAAATATGTTGCGTGATAAGCATCCCTTTAATGCTTTTAATCCATCCTTTTAGTCCCCCCCTTAAGTCAATGATGCTAAGATAATAATAATAACAGCATGGTCTCAAGTGTTTCTTCACAATTGAGCCCTCATCACATACTCATCCACACAATCTTCAACTACAGAGTTTGCTGAATCACAGGTCATATTTCAAGTCCACAGGAAGCCTGTGAAAAACTGCAACTAAGGCTAGGATTTGGATTTGACTGGTATAAATTACACCATAAATTAGTCACCCACACCTACAGTATATGCTTCTTTTCAAGAAGTGATGCATCCAAGGCCAGCAGGGAGGAGAAAATTCAGGACAGGAGTAAGATGTTGCCATTTTTGGTAATGGATTTAAAAAGAAAATGATAAGCAAGATATTCCCAGTCTTATTACAAGGTTTGGCTCAGAAATATAGCCATACCTGCATCCACAGTTCTGGAAGACTTGCCCAGCTTCTCAGAGATGATTTGACGAGTGCACTTATAGGTGCTGACACTCCACTTCTTCAGAGATTCTATCTTTGAATCTGGTTGTCTTACAACAGTTGTTGAATGGCCTCCTGGAGTACTTCGAGATGAATTATTGAGGGAAGACGGCACTGAGCCTTGAGGAGAAAATTAAATTGAAAAAAAGATATAGAGGAACAACCAGCTTCACCAGAAAAAGCAAGCAATGGCAAAGAAGAATAGATGCAATAGGTCAACCGTAAACTCACTAGAAGAAGGGACAGTCCCCATGATTGAAGGTGATGTTGCATAACCAGGCAAACTGACAGGAGAACCAGGAAAATCTTGTAATGATGTCGGAAATTGAATGCCATCTCCCTCAGATGTATCAAGAGTGACATTCATCATGGTTCCTTCAGTATTGACAAAGTCCATTGGATTTTGGTTTGAATTTCTAAGATGGGGATTCTGAACAGGTTCAACCATTGACCTCACTTTGTCCTTGCCTACTTCCATGTGGGCTTATGAGACCTATTAATATGACAAAATTGACAAGGAAGAACAGATAAAAGAGGGCAGCATGCTAGATCCCCTTTCTCTTTCTCACAAAACAAAAAAGTGCTTCCAGCTTCTTCCAGGAGTCTTGAGCATTTTCTTTTGTGTAATGTTAAGAGGAAAAAAATCTGCAGCACCACTAAGAATGATTTCTTCACATTAATTTCTAGTGATTTGTCTGCTCTCCTTCATACATCTATCCTTATTGAAAACTGGCTCTTCTGGTCCAATTAGTATATATTGAATACAGAAAAAAAAACAATGGCCAGAAATATTTACATGGGATGTAAGAAGTTATGATGTACACATGATTCAATATAACCCAGCAGTTAAGATTTGCATGAATTCAAATGGAAGCATCAGGCACCCTACCAATTTCCATTTATTTTTTAAGAAACAGAGGAACTGGTGGGGCAAAACAGAGAATTTTGTAATGACATTGGACCCCAACAATTGGTGCATTTATTTAAAGGGGGTTGGAGGTATTCATGTGGAGGCAACCACACTGTAAAGCAGTGATGCACAACCTGCTGGCTGCATGTGGTCCACAGAGACATTTTTTGTGGCCCTTTGGATGCCTCCAGTCTCTAAAAGTCCATATTTGTATGCAGCCTATTTCTGCTCATATTTAAGGACCAGTGGCCCTCAAACCCCTTGAACATTAGCCGAAGTCTCAATTTGGTCCTCTAGGCTGAAAAGGCTGTACATCACTGCTGTAGCACAACTTCCCAGAATTGAGGAGATGAAGATGAATCTAACATCATACATGCTAGAATATATTCAACTGGTAGACTACAAACTCATATTTGCTGAGATCCACAATACTCACAAGCTCTTAGTTTATTCCACACCCCTGATGATATTTTCACAACGGTATTTGGCAATCCCCATAAGGTAAAAGATAATGAGCAATTTACCCAGTCTGCATGAGAGTGAAACTGCTATTGCAATCTCCATGCGTGTTACTCCAGTTCATTCAGACTTCTAGTCTTTCCTACCGACATTAAGGCTACAATTTGATTTTCTCAGATTATGCTCATGGGCATAAAATCAGTCGACGTAGTAATAAGGAATGGGACAGGATGGTAGAGATGCACTGAGAAATCTCCGTTTTCCCCAGCTCCGAGAATAAGATTCGGCCTTCAACACTTTGCCTCTTTAACGTACCACATATAGAACAGGAGTATTTCGTGCTCAGGAGTCTACCTTCATATGTACATCGATTCCCGATTTTGGAAATAAACACCTCTGCCCAGCTCGCTCCCAACTGAGCCACTTACCTGCCCCTGTCCCAGTCCCAATTTTAAGGGAATAAGATAGGACTAAGAGCAAGTCAAAGGGAAAGCGTAGGATTTTTTTTGGCACACATCATCAGTAATCGGCTGAATCCATACCAGGTGACTAGACGACATGGGAATCGCCATCTTAGACTAGATTGCAAGAGCACCTTCGACGCATGACACCCTTGACATGTCTGTTCTCTACCTACGAACAAATATTTCGAGCGCTACGGGTACGGAAGCCAAAGGACACAAGAAGCGTAGTGGGAAATGTGATTATGGTTTTCTCCTGTGGATACAGGTGTCTCTGAGTGCAATGAAGTGACATCAAAATCAATTTCTAGATGATAGTTCATTCAATATTCTGCAGGAGATTGCTCTGATCTACTGTATATACCCTATGCCCATCTCCCCATAAAACATTTTAATGCATTCGGTCTTAATATTTCACATCAGCCAATGTGGGATACAATTTCACGGGTTGTTTTCTACAAAAATAACTACAGCAGTAAAAATGTTGAGGATACAGGCATCTCGCATCTCATTCCCAGCAAACAAACGAACATTCAATCAACGTTGTATGAACGTTAATTTTGAACCTTCCCACTGTTGTGGTGGCGTTGTATCTAATATTAAGTCAACATTTCAATGCCGCCTATTGCAATACTCAGATGAACGTTCATTCAACGTTTTGCTTTTTAAATGTTTGCAGGGACCCCAGTAGCACGCCTAGTACCGGGTCTAAAACGACAGTCAAGGAATTTACATGCTGTACTAAATGAACTAACTGTAGTACATTCCAGGGAGTAGTCCACCCCTTCATGTTCTACGCAGGTGCAAATCCTCCTTTCCTCTCCCGGGTGCGGAATGATCTCTCTGCCCCCAGCGATGAGGAAACGAAGGACAGAGGGAAGATTCACGATAACATTACAGAAACACCTTCAAAATCGTCGAGATATCTTGCATGCAAGGGGTTCTCATAGGGAATATGAGCTTGTTTATCGCCTGAGCTCCATGATTCTGTCTCAAATATGGGGATAGTAAATGATAAAGTGTCCGATTTTATTGATTGCTATAATGAGACTAGGATAGACATATGGCGAGGTACTAAACATTCCTGTGAGGGATGATTAACTGATAACCTGGTATGATTAACGCATTTTTTTTATATTACCAGACTTCAGAGCTCCCATTATCATTCGAAGTCAGTCGAATATTGAAAAGTTTGTGGGCAATGCTGAAATTTTATATTCCATATAAAACCATTTTTCCGCAGTATACTCGCAAACAATGCATGAACTTAAAGTAAAATATGTTGTTATTTAAAGATAAAAACTTTCATAAATAATCGTAAATTTGGACTTTCAAATCAATATTATTTCCCTTTATAATCAGGTACTCCGTTGCCGGGAGTTTGCAACCATTTTTTGTTACTTTGCAGTTGTCTTCACCCTTTTATTGTCATTTCAATGTGTCAGAAGTTGCGCAACTGAGATTATTTTTTTATTTCGTTTTCAGGCAATGAGAACGAAACGTAAGTGAAGATGAAACGACTGCCCCACCTGTTATCATAGAGTTAGAAAAAAAGGAATTAACAGAACTGATTTTTTTTTCAGCTCGTGAATGTAATAGCTACCGTGACGATCCGGCTGAAATGAAAGATGGAGGTCGGAACAGCCATTCCCCCGTCCCTGTCCCTTCGCCTAGCACGCACCCGTTCCCGCCTCCCACTTTCCAGACTCCTCTGGGAATCCCATACCAACTAATTATTTCTGGATCCGCCATCGATATGAAATGATGCGCAAGGGAGAAGGGATTCACCTGGACGCTGATCCTCCCCACTTCATTCCTTTCAGGTGTGAGACGTGGCCGATGAATTGCTCTACATAAACAAGCCAAATCTAAGAATTTTATCTTAAAACTGGCAGTTGCCATGAGGCTCGTTTGAGGTTTTCGGCGAAGTATCACGTGTTTCAAACCTCCAGTATTCAGAGTTTTCTCATTAGTATTACACATGAGGTCGACAACATCAGTCCGGAGGACTGCAGTGTTCAACATCGGCGTCGTCGTTCTCAGAAGTGTTTAGATGTTGTAGGAAGACACTTGGAGCTTTTTTTCCGATTATTTATAAGTCAGTTGCGTAACTCAGGATATTCGGTCGGAAGTGGGGGGGCCTCCTGGGTATGTCATTAGTCGTAGCTTGTCCAGGGAATCATCATATGATATGCACTTAGCATATCAATGTGCCAATCACTACTGCTTCCTTTCATTTCTACCACTTATGAATGATGTCATCGAGAATGCTCATGTCATCGAGAATGCACGTCTTCTGGCATTCCTGTAAATAAATAAATAAATAAATAAATTCTGAAATTGCCCCAGATAGCAATGAGTGCCCTTTTCCTTGACCATTTGCTAAGTGAAATAAGAATTGAATCGAGTGAATATCGGATGAGACAGTTCTCGGGGTGTCAAGAGAGCGTTGGATCTCCTATCCCACCACATTTTTCCTCAGATAGGAAAAATTACAGATGACACGAAAACGTGACGATCGATTTTCGCAATTCAATTCTCGACCGGAAATCTGTGTCCGATGACCGGTGAAGTCTGGTAAGCGGAAGCGTGGGAGTGGCTGAGGGAATGAGGAAGGCTGCGAGCAAAGGGGCCGGGGGAGATGGATGCAGTTCAGCATCCTCCTCTCGTCCGCTCTCTGTCGACGCCTGCACGCACGCTCGTTTGTGGCGCCCTCACTCTAATTCACACTCACACGGTTACGTTTTCTTTCGAAGGTAATGCACGCTAGTCGGAACTCGTCCGCATTCGTCTACTCGGAGGAACACGCGATGCGTGAACGAAGCGTGAACGTGGAATTTCTAACGCCAACACGCAACGACAGAGCGTTGGCGTGATAAATTCGACGGAACACAATTCGAAACATGAGTCTTGTGTTTCTTCCTTGCCTGCTGATGCACGTGGGTATTCATGCTTCGGTCTGGTCGGAACGTGAGCGGACTCGTGCAGACACGCACGTCGCCGGTGCGACAATAAATCTAGCGCCACGCCCAACAGATGCATATTGTGAAACATCTTTCGAGACGAAGCTCACCCACCCAGAAAATCCTGAAATTCTGTTCGTATTTGAAGGGAAAGACTACCGGTATGGTTGAATAAGCCATTTCCATTCGACTTAACGGGTTGGTATGCTGGAATCCTATGTACTTCCAAATTCGGAGACCTCCGGCATAGCGGATACTCAGAATTTCAGCGATTAACGATATGAGGTTCTATGAATTTCCGTGCGAGAAATCGTTTGATTTGAACTGTAGAGCATCCATTCCGAATGGCCACCAGGCATGAGAGTATGCCATGAGCATGTATTTCACTAAAACGACAGTTACCCTTGTTAGCCCGTTCTCTCTGGAATGAGGGGGATGGACAAGGAAACCCGGAAGAGAGTGACACAGCGGCAGGACGAGGATATCAGTGTTTCCTTTCCTTTTCCGTTTGGAAAGGAATCCCCACAAAAAAAAAATACAATACGAGATTAGACTAAATGCACCATTCCAAAAAAAAAATGCGCTAAGCCTTACCGATCGCTCTCAAGAGGATATTGTCCTTTCCTTTCCCTTTCATCGATCGAAAATCGTGCCGCAATCACGAAGGATTCCAAAACTCTGTTCGTCTTCCCCTCGTCCGTGTCCCCTCGTGGAATGCGCGATACGAGAATCCCGTCAGGGCGATAACGAAGAAAAGATGAATGAGTTCATCCCGTCTCCCGCTTCTCGAGCCCAACTTATTTTTTGTGCAATGGTTTAATATTCCAAGAAGCTTCCAGGCCTCGCCGAGGCAATTTGTCCGTAGCCGCCTGTCGCACGTGTTCCTCGCCCATTTATATGATTAATTAGATGATCGGTGCTCCGAGTGCCACTCCTTTTCCCGGTGATGAGAGTGCGAGAACCCCGCGGGCACCGGCGACGATTCACTTCCAACTAATGCGTTACCGTCCGAGATCTAGCGGGATATTCATTATTACCTTTCGTTGACTCCGTGCTGTGCCCCTGGAGTGAATCACTTTCAATCCTAAGCTATATCTCATCCTCTATAGAATGTCCGAGCTCAATGGATTTCGATTCGGATAGAAGCACTCGAGGCGATGCGGAGACAGATCAACTAATTGAAGTCGATTCCTAAACTCACTAATTGCTGGGATAGATCCAATTTCGGGTAGATTTTTACCGGTCGTGCATAATATGCATTTTTTCCTAAAGCATGATCCAGATACGAAAATTTGAATCCATCCGATGGAAAAGAGGATGAAAAGCATTTCTAATGCGTTATAATCCCCAAAACATAAAACCTGTAAGAATTGGTAGCACTAAAGTTTTTTCCTTCTAAAGTTTTTGTCTTCAAAATAAGACAGTGATAGTTAATTGGTTAATGTTGGAATTTGCGAAGATGGGGACTCCTCCGCAAGATACCTAGTGAGAGGCGATAGAAGGTTCGGATGGAGACTTTCGGTCTGCGACGGGAATGGAATTTCATCCAAGTTCCTTTTAGTTTTTCACAAAGCTTCTCCATCGTCTTAGGAGGAACTTCACGAGGAACTAGGAGGAACTTAGAAGGAACTAGGAGACCTTCGCGTCCTCATAGAACGGTTCGAGTGCCATCGTCATGCCTTAGAAGAAAAGGAAAGCTGTGAAAATCCTCTATTTCTCAAGCGAAAATTCCCTTCGATCGAAAGTCGGAAATCCATCTTGGATCATCTCGGGAGGGCTCGAGAAATACTGGTCCAGACCATCTTCATCTACGAGATCGATACCGGATCGAAGAGGAAGCACTACGACCTTCAACCGGTTTATCTGGTCCCGATTCCGCAGCTGAATATACTCATCCCTTTCCAGCATCCCCCAAACGAGGGACAAGCCCTGTTGCAGATGCATTTCTCGTCCTGAAGGTTCTTCAGGAAAATTAATGGTAGAAGCAGAAATGAGGAAGGTCAAGTTCTCCGATTTTTACACAGTAGGTGTCATTAACGACTTTTCCGGTGTATTCCTAAGCCCTTGGTTCCCCCCCTCCCTCTTTGCTTTCCGATGAGAAGCTGAGGGCGGAGTAACACGGCGGCAAGGCAATGATTCTACTTTCAAAGCTAACACCTCACCTACTGTCAAAAATCCACTCCACCATATTCGTCCGTGAATCTGTGGGAGGATTACTTTCTCCGAACGATCGGAAGACTGACTCTCAACTTTGGAATTCCGCTTTTTTTCTTCTGAAAACATAAGAACTGGATATGACGAAATTTTGACCCTAAGGGGCAATTATTTGGCTATGCATAAAAGCCACTGCCATCGTTCGGCTTCTTCTGACTTTAACTACTTCCTCCATCCCAAGATTCCGAAGTCCTAAAGCTGCGTTCTGCCCACCCAATTCATAAATTTCGTAATACCTATATTCCTGATTAAAAAGCAAAAAACGAGTTGCCGAGGGGCGATTGATGAGAAGAGAAATCCCCAAGATCCGGTTCTGCCATCTTCCTAGAATTCCCACTTTCTCTTCAACTTCATCGTGGACGTCTGAAATCATCGGATCAGTTTTCATTAGAATCAGTGCTTAAAAAAAAAGAAACCATATTAATATTGAAAGTGAAGTAGAAAGGAAATTGAAATGCGAAAAAATAACGCCTGCCCTCGTTTCATGCGACAGAGCCCGCCCCCGTACTGAAGGATCCTCTTATATCACTTTCACCTCGTTTGCATACATACACATCGGTCCATGCAATCGGAAATTGAGTGCACCGACTGGTTTTTTTTTCACAGGGGCTGGGTGTGTGTGGCGTTGAAATCGGTGTTGAACCACAAAGCCCAAGGGGACATAATAGGACGGACGGATCTGGCGAGAGCTGAAGGAAGTGAAATAGTGAAAGTTTTCATTGACGGACACCCCCTTCCCCCCTCCGCCCCCCCCCCCCCTCCCCTACCCCCTCTCCCCCTCCCATTTAAACGAAAAGATTCATGAGTCCTCTCTTGCATCATCGGTTCAGCGTCCTGAACCGAATTCATATCACGAGAGAGAGATAGGGTTAGAGCCCGTTGAATACTCTAGAAAGCGAAGGGGGTCTCCTCGATAGGCTCCTGGAAGACATGCCTCTTTGGAGAGAAGGAGGCATATCCTCTGAGGCAATTTTCCCCAGAGGCATAACCCTCAATACGATTAAACGAAAGGCACGAGGCCATTCGATCTCGCACGGTCTGAAAGGAACTTGCAACGGATGAATCTAAGCCGATTTCCTGATTCACTCTTATGAGATCGTAAAACTAAAAGGCCTTTTATTTGAGCAAATACCTCTTATTTATTAGTTTCACGATGCATCATCGATTGTCGAGGATGAAAATCCTCGTCCAGCTTGAGGAGCGGGGACAGCTCTCCCTCTCCATTCCATATGCTGCTAATGTTTGGAATTCCCCTTTTATCTCTACATTCTCACTTGGAATAAAGTTTCTGCTTTCCTTCATTCTTGCTTTTTCGGGCCATGTAAGAGCAGCAAGAATTGCATTGCCGGGCGGAAGAATAAAGGACGCAGAGATGAGAAGCTAAAAATTATTTTAGTTCGAAAATAAAATAACCGAATGTCATTGACACCGACTTAGGGGCCAGGGGCAAGGGGCAAAGGGCAAGAGGAAAGGGGAAAGAGAGCAAGGGGACAAAGGGGCTGATTCAGAGGTTCAATGCTCGTATTCAATCAGGACCAAAAAAAGACTTTCAGATTCTACTCAAACAAAAAATGTATACATATCCTGCCCACGTGAAAAAGAAGTATTCAGATCCTC